AATGCTCCAAAATCTGAGTTTTTGAGGGCCAGCATGACCCTCAAATGAAATAGTCTTTGGAGGATTTTACATTTTTGGATTAGTGTTGCTGAGTTGGTAAGTATAATGCAAATATTCCAAAATCTGAAAATATTTGAAATCTGAAACACTTCTGGTCCCAAGCATTTTGGATAAGGGATCCCCAACCTGTACAAACAATGCTGCAAGACAGTATTAAACTATCTCCTTGTGCATACATGCAAGTTTCTATAATATTTACAAATAGAATTGTTGGGTCATAGGGCATACATCTTCAACTCTGCTGGATGTTGCTTAATTCCTCTCCACTGTGTTGCTCTCAGTAACAGTGTACTAGGTTCCTATCACGCCACTCATTGACATTACACATTAAAAATATTGTCAATTTGATAGGTATGGAATAGATCATTATTGTTTTAAATTGAACACCCCTGAATAGTGAAGCTGAACGTGTTTTCTTGTGATTATTACACATTTGGGTTTCCTCCTTTATGAATGGCTCAGTTTTCTATTGAATTTGTTCATTAATTTGTAGTTTATTATAAAATGAATTCTTTTCTTTGTTGGGTAATGAACATTTAATCATCTTGACCCAGCCTGTGGCTTGTATTTTGACATGTTATTTGATGAACAACTTATTAAGCTTTTCTTTGAAAGTTTGTCCTCTTTATATCTTTATGCCTTACTTAAGAAATCCTTCCTCTCTGAGGCATAATGATTTTTCTCCTATAATTTCTCTAAAAATTAAAAAAATTCACATTTAATTCTTAATCCATTTGGAGTTTATTTTTGTGTTTGCTGTGGACAGCAGTAGATTTACTCTGCCATCACTTGCATGAGCTCTTTTCAAGGCTCTGGGAGAAGCCCAAGTAATGTTCACATGGGTTGTGTTTTTATAAAATTTTCAAAAATAATTTATTTTGGAATTTCCTTAGGAATCCCCAAATTGTAAGTTTTTGGCTTCAAAAAACTTGGACTTCTTTCCTACATATGAGGTAGGATTCTAATTTTAATCTTTCTCCATATAGGGAGTAATTGTTCTAGTATCAATGATTGAAATATGCAAACTCTTTGCCATTGATTTGCAATCCTACTCTGTCATATATAAAGATGTCATGTTTGAAGGGGTTTCTTTCTGGGCTCTTTATTCAGTTATATTGGCATGTTTGCCTATCCCTCCAATTTATTTTGATGTAGTAGAGAGTTCTAGGACTCTTTCTGTCTTCCAAAAGGGTCTTAAACCAGGCCATTCCATTGGTGATTTATTTTATTGAAAACTACAGTTTTCTGATTTTGCTTGAAAGGCTTAGGTTAGTGGAAAAAAAATACATTGTTATCTGTAATTGGTAATTCCTCTCTTAAGCCTTTACTGATTTTCTCACATAGTTCTATATGATTTTTTTCAGTGTCCCACAGCACTTTTTACATAATCCACTTAATCATATAATATTTTAATTAGTCATTTATATCTGTGATTCCAATGAAACGGAGCTCCTTCAATGTGGGCTGCCTAAGTAACTGATAGTATGGTGTATAACACATAGCGGGCATTCAAAGAATGTCTGAGTTAATGAGTAAATTTAGAATATCAAACAATATACATAAATAATTTGAGCCAATCATGATTATTATTAATTTCTTGCCAATTGGACTTATGAACTATACTGTGCTCAATTATCAAAATGAGGTAACGTCTATGTGATTGAATATTTGTTCACTCTGAGACTGTATTGTTAACTCTGAGGCTATATAAAGAATCTTTACATGCTGCAACTCTTTAGGAAGCCAGTCAGAAGTGCATTATACAGCTGCTTAATGTGTATGACTTTAAATCCAGAAAACTTTGTTGTTCTATTGATTGTAGTAATTAATGGTTTTTCTTTTTTCCTTCTCAAAAAGGGAGAAATAAAGTCAGAAGATTCTGGTTGATTACAATTTTAACGTTTCTGAAATAACAAAGTTGAATTAAGATCAGCTTATGTTTATTATATGAATTATTTAAAATACTTCTTGCTGTGACAGATAACCCTCCATATCTCAGTAAGTTTAACAGTAGTTTATTTTTCAATCACGGAAAATCCTAATGGATGTTAGTTATCAATGGTTGTTTCTCTAGGCAATGATTTATAGACTCAATCTCCTAGTTTTTGTCCTTAACGTCTCCTTAGACCCTGGAATCCTCTGCACATTTTATCCTGCTTGGCAATGGAGAAAGACTAAAGCTGTCATGTGGGAGGCTTTTATGAGCCAGGTCTGTGCCTACATCACTTGTATCCACATTCAGGTGATTAGAACTCAGTTACCTGACAAAACCTGGCTATTAGCCAGAATAATAATCTAGCCATGTGTACAGAAAGAAAAGGTAAGCAGATTTTCTGAATAACTGTTAAAGCAAATCACTGACATAACCTATTAGGTACCACATAATATGCAAGGCATTAGGGATACAGGACCCTGTAGTTGAAGATCCCATATATATACTACACATAGTAGAAAACGAAATTAAAAAAAAAAGCCTTTCTCCACCTTTTTAAATTTTTAAATCTTGCAGCTGGAAAATGTAAGCAGGGAGATGGAAATAAATAAAATAAATACAAAACAGAAATGAAGAAACAGAATGGTTAATAACCTTCTAACATGGAAAACACTATCTGAGGTGGATTCACTGGTGAGTAATACCAAACATTTAAGGAAGAAATTATACCAATTCTGTATAATCTCTTCCAGATGATAGAAGCAAAGGAATACTTCCTAACTTATTCATGAGCCCAGCATTACTACAATACCCAAATCAGATAAAGACATTATAAGAAAACTAAATCAATATTTCTCATGAACACAGATGCAGAAATCTTCAAAAAAAATTAGCAAATTAAATCCAACAATGTATAAGAGGAAGTATAAACAATGACGAAGTGGGACTTACCCAAAGTATGCAAGGCTGGTTACATTCAACTAATCAATTATTGTAATTAATCACATTAACAGGCTAAAGAAGAAAAATCATGTGTTCATATCAATAGATGCAGAAAAAGCATTTGACAAAATCTAATACCCATGTTATGATAACAACTTTCAGTGAGCTTTAGCTTGCTAAAGAACATCTACAAAAACCCTACAGCTAACAGTATACTAAATGGGGAGAAACTTGAAGGTTTCCTGTTAAGATCAAGAATTAGGCCTGTCTCTACAGAACCAATCTGCTTCAAAGTCTTCTTGAGAACACTTAAACTATTTGTCGGGGGAAGAAAAATCTTACAATACAAAGACATAATAGTAGTAGATTTGGAAAAGGCTTGCCATTTGACATTTAAAAAAAAGATCAATGAAACTATCAGTGAAAAGGAATTAAATTTATCTTGACTACTTTTGGTAAAGGGCACAGTGGAGCACAAGTTGAAAACTACAAATTTTTTGATACTTAAACCAAAACACAGTTCCCAGATAATTTTCCCAAGTGAGGAATTTGGCTATTTTTTGTTGGTTCCAGGAGAAAAACGCACATGAGAACAAAAAGTGTTTAGCATTCCATGTTATTTGTTCAAACATCTTAGTCACATTTCCACTCTTATATTTGGCCAATTTATCTTAATATAGTGTTTTTATTTAATACATCACCATATTAGAAAACTAGGCCCTTGGCCAGGTGCGTTGGCTCACATCTGTAATCCCAGCACTTTGGGAAGCTGAAGGTGGGCGGATCACCTAAAGGCAGGAGTTTGGGACCAGCCTGATCAACATGGAGAAATCCTGTCTCTACTAAAAAGACAAGATTAGCCAGGCATGGTGACACATGCCTGCAATCCCAGCTATGTGGGAGACTGAGGCAGGACAATCACTTGAACCAGGGAGGTGGAGGTTGCAGTGAGCTGAGATTGTGCCATTGCACTCCAGCCTGGGCAACAAGAGCGAAACTCTTGTCTCAAAAAAAAAAAAAAAAACAAAAAAAAAAAAACAAAAAAAAAAACCTAGGCCCCTTTTTCTCTAGAAAAATGACAAGACCTGCAGCTAGTGTTGTAGACCACCAAGAGGTTCTACACAATTAGTAAAACCATTTTCTTTATGTCAAAACCTCTAAGTCGTGGCTTTGACCTGTGTTTCAGATGAAGCAGACAACTAAAAAAGAAATAATTCATTTGTATAATTTGGTAAATTTTGATAATACTCAAATTATTTGAGTTATTAAGGTGTTGTTTTTTGTGACAGAACAGCTGCTCTGAATTAGCAATTAGCTGCTGCCTTTTTGGTGGAACTTATTCCCTTATTTTCAATAATGTATCTAAACAATAATGTATCCTCAGGCCTCTTTTCTATTGCAGTTAATGAAGCTCTTTCAAGAAATGGTAATTTTGAATTCCAGGAAAGAGCTTTAGGCCTGGATGGGTATTTAATAACCTTTTAAGAAGCCTAGTTTGATTTTTTTTTAATCTTTTGGACAGGGTCTCACTCTATCGCCCAGGCTGGAGTGCAGTGGTGTCATCACTGCTCACTGCAGCTTCCACCTACTGGGCTCCAGTGATCCTCCCACCTCAGCCTCTCGAGTAGCAAGGACTAGTCAGGCCACCACGCCCAGCTAATTTTGTATTATTATTATTTTTGTAGAGGCGGGTTTTGGAGGCCTTGGCCTCCCAATGTGCCAAGCCGTGCAGGCCTGGCCAGGAGTTTACTTTCAAAATGCAGTGGTAAGGTGCTTTCTTCAGAGGTAACTAAAAATAAGACAAGCTGGGCAAAACTTGGGCAGCATGTCTATGCGATTCCTCTAAGTTCAATGTATATTTTCAGAGTTAATATTTGAGTTTCTTGACTTTGTTAGCTTGCAAGCTATTATACGGAAAGGTAATATTTTATAGACTCATTACAGCCTAATACAACCAACACCGACGCTTACAACTCTGGATTCATTATTTACTAGTTACTTTCACTTTATCTCTAGAACTCTCAATTCCGCTTTCATTTTGGTTATTCCCGCAGCTTCCCTAAATCCCACGTCAGACTGCAATCCTACGGTTCCCTGCAATCTTCTCTTTACCATCCCTCCTCCGCCCCTCATCAGCCAACTAGGGAATACTTTGTCATTGCTTTGTGAAAGTAACAGAATGCGAGAGCTTGTCTACACGTGTGGCCAAAACGCATCCTACAACGGTATACGTCGGAATCTCATTTCTCTTCCCACAGCCGCCTTCCTTCCAGCAAATAAACCTCGGAACTAAGTTTAAATCTGTCACTTGCTCCTCCTACCAGCGGCCTATTGCTTCTGCCCTCCTCACTGAACCCAAGTTCCTCTTCGCAGTCCTTTCATTTATCAAGAAAAACAACCCACTCTATTTTTTCAGGGCTTTAAGTGCTAGGTCTGGTCTCTTTCTCCGCATCGAACCAGCGACCCCTGTGCTTCCCCACCCAGGCCGGACCTCCACCTGGGGAACCGCCGCGACGCAGCCAGCCCCAGCACCCGCAGCCACCTTTTCACCGGAGCGCCACTTCCGGATCTCGGGTGCTTCCACTTTACGGTTCCCCTCACCCCCTCAGACACTTCCTAGAGCTTTGTCTAGCAGGGTCGGAGCAGGGACCCTGACTAGCCGAAGGCAAGAGTTCTCCTCCACGAAGACGCTCAGAGTAGTTTCTCCACCCTGAGAAATCTGGTCCGGCTGCGTAGAGTGGCGGCGGTGGAGGGGCAGTTTGTTTTGAGCACCAAGTGCCGCACACCCGGAAGTGGCGCGATACGGGAGCCGCGCTGCCGGCGGGGGCGGGTGCCGGGAACCTGGAGGTGGAGGGAAGGCCGCGGTGCTCTGGCAAGTGAGCGGAGGGTGGAGTGCAGAGGGAGTGGGAGCAGGAGGGGGCCTGGCTTTAGCTCTGGTTCTCTGGTGGCAGATCCGGCTGGGTTCCGGGAGGCGAAGGCCTCGCGGGGTGGCTGGGTTGGTGAGCCTGCTTCACTTCATTCTTCCAGTCTGAGGGACACGCTGTCTTCTGGTCAGTATCTCTTCCTTACTTCGCCTGGCTAGTGGTGGTGTACTTGTGAGGAAGTCGCAGCTGCAGCTGGGGGTCCGCTTGAGTTTTCTCTGCTTCTAAGAGGAGGCGAACAGCCGCTTTGGTGGGAACTTACTGCTTTCTGCCGGATAACTAACGCTTTTTTCTTCATTGTACCGCCAACTTCTAACGTTTCTGTCTTTACTTCTTTCAGCTTGACTTTGACTCCTTACCTTAAAAGATGCTGGAGTCATATGTAACTCCAATTTTAATGAGCTATGTGAATCGCTACATCAAGAACTTAAAGCCGTCGGATCTACAGCTTTCACTATGGGGTGGAGATGTGGTACTCAGCAAGCTCGAGTTAAAGTTGGATGTGCTGGAACAGGTAAGCTATGTAGCTGTCATTCTGACCTCAGGTGATCCGCCACCTCGGTCTCCCAAAGTACTGGGATTGTAGGCGTGAGCCACTGGGCCCGGCCTACATAATTTTAAAAAGTAGTTTGTTCCTAGTGATGGTATATTAGAATGGGATTACTCAAAGTTGCTTTGACAGGAAAACGATTTCATCGTTTGTGTCAGAATTGTTCAGGCTGTATAGTCAATTTTCAAGCATTACGAATATGCTAATTTACATTGTCAAAATTATGTGTGAGCCTGTAATGTCTCCACTCGATTACATTTTCGTCCTTTTTGGGCAATGGAAGGGTTTGAAAGCCAGCAGGAAGGGTGGCTGGCTGGTGGGGCTGAGGAAAAAAAAAGACCAAAAAAAAAAAAAAAAAAGAGCAGGTTCAGATCACATTTCCCACGGCATCCTCAGAGTGTTGAGTAGATACATTGAGAATGGCAGTAAAATTGGAAACTTCTTTATTAATCGTTTTAGTTCCTTTTAACATGAGATTGGTCTGATGCAAGAAACTGTAACTTGAGGGTTCACGTATTCATTAATTCATTTAGTACATTTATTAGTAACATATGCCAAGAAATTCTGTTAGGCTTGAGCATCTGTGGAAACTCAGAAGAGTCAGAGACCAACTGGTTTTTAGGATAAGGGAAGACTTAATCTGACAGTGATAGTTATTGATAATTTGTAGTTATAGTCCACAGCCTCTTTTATTACTCTTTTATTAAGTCAATCTAGACTTAACACTAAGAAATAATATTCCTGGCTGCTTCTTTTTCCTCTTTCCAAGGTTGAGTGGGTATTTTCAATATTTTCACTTTAGTTTTTTTTTTTTTTACTGAGTACAAATCCCAAGTATAACAGCTCAATTTTAAAATGTTTTACATCTGTGCAACTACTGTCCAATTAAAAAAAATAGAATGTTTCCAGCACCCCAAAAGGCTCACCTGTTTTACTTTTAATAAGTACTCCAGGCTGGGCGTGGTGGCCCATGCTTCTAATCCCAGTACTTTGGGAGGCCGAGATGGGTGGATCATGAGGTCAGGAGTTCGAGACCAGCCTGGCCAACATGGTGAAACCCCATCTCTACTAAAAATATAGAAAATTAGCGGGACATGGTGGCATGTGCCTATAATCCCAAGTATTTGGGAGGCTGAGGCAGGAGAATTGCTTTTATCTGGGAGGTGGAGGTTGCAGTGAACTGAGATCATGCCACTGCCCTCCATCCTGGGTGACAGAGTGAGACTCCTTCTTGGGGGGTGGGGGAAAGTACTCCCCACTCCTAAAAGAGGTGACTGGTAATCTGACTTCTGTCAGCATAGATACCTTTTACCTGTTTTTGAACCTGAAATAAGTTGAAATCACTTAATGTTTGGCTTTTTTTCTTTCAACGTTTCTAAGATTAACCCATGTTGTTAGATGAGTTTGTTTTTTGTATTGCCATTACTATTCCATTGCATAAAGATTCTACAATTTACTTTTCTCCTGTTGATGGACACTTGAGTTTTTAATATTTTTGGCTTGTGAAGAAAGCTTCCATGAACATTCTAGTACATGAATCTTGATAACATAAGTATTAATTTCTCTTAGGTGTATACCTAGAAGGTAGGCATGTGTTTAGCTTTCATACTGCCAAATAGTCTTTCAAAGTGGCTGTAACAATTCCAGTCTCACCAACAATGTATGAGCATTCTAGGTATTTTACATTTTTGCTGCTACTTGGTATATTTATTATTTTAATGTTAGCCTTTCCAGTGGGTGTGTAGTGGTATCTCATTGTAATTTTAACTTGCATTTTCCTAATGACTAATGATGTTGAGCACCTTCTTAATATTCTTATTGGCCTTTTACCTATCTTTATTTTGTGAATTCTTTTTTCCTTTTTTAAAAAATGGGTTTTCTGTATTATTGATGTATAAAAATTCTTTATATATTTTGGAAATGAGTCCTTTGCCAGCATATATGTTTTGCAATATTTACTCTCAGTTTGTGGCTTGTCACTTTACTCATAAAGGTGTCTTGATGAATAAAAGTTAATAATTTTACTGAGGTCCAATTTATCAATCTTTTCCCTTGCGGTTAGGGTTTTTCTTGTGTTGCTTAAGAAATCGTTACTTAACACCAATGTCATGAAGATATTCTTTTCTATTTATTTTGGGAGCTTTATTGAATTCCATGATTCATCTCAAATTAGTTTTTCTGCATATATGTAATAGATGTCAAGATTAATTTTTTTCCCATTGATTGTCAGTTGATCTATACCAATTCTTGAACTCTTGTTTCCCTACTCAATTACGGTAAGCCTTTGCTGTAAATCAGGTTGCCATATGTATGTGGATTTGTTTCTGAACTCTTTCATCTATTTGTCTATTCTTGTGTCACTCCATATGGTTACCGTAGCTGTTATAATGAGACTTGATATCTCAGCGTAATCAGTACAATTTTGTTCTTTTCTCCTTCAAGATTGTCATAACTATTTTAAGTCCTTTGTATTTCCATATACATTTTATTTATTTATTTTTTCAGTCTTGTTCTGTTACCCAGGCTGGAGTGCAGTGGCTCGATCTCGGCTCAGTGCAACCTTCGCCTCCCAGGTTCAAGCAATTTTCCTGCCACAGCCTCCCTAGTAGCTGGAATTATAGGCATGCACCATCATGCCTGGGTAATTTTTGTATTTTTACTAGAGACTGCGTTTCACCATGTTGGCCAGGCTGGTCTCGAGCTCCTGACCTCAGGTGATCCACCTGCCTTGGTCTCCCAAAGTGCTGGGATTACATGCGTGAGCCACCACTCCCGGCTTATCATATACATTTTGATTTCAACTTGTAACTTTTAGAATTAATTTCCAAAAAGGAAAGCTGTTGGTGTTTTTTCTGGGATTACATTGAATCTGTAGATCAATTTTGGATGAATTAACATGTTAACATACTGAGTTGACATAGTTTTGAGTTTTTCAATTCATATACAGAGCAATGCTTTTCATATTTTTAGGCCTTTAATTTCTCTCAGCAGTGTTTTGAACTTTTTAGAGAAATTTTGCATGTGTTTCATTGAATTTCATCTGTTTTTTACTGATGTTTAAGTAGATTTTTAAAAACTTTATTTTCTGGCTAGGCTCAGTGGCTCTTGCCTGTAACCAATCATAGCACTTTGGGAGGCTGAGGTGGGTGGATCATTTGAGGTCAGTAGTTTGAAACAGCCTGGCCAATATGGCAAAACCCCATCTCTTCTAAAATTACAAAAAAATTAGCCAGGTGTGGTGGCGCACGCCTGTAATCCCAGCTACTTGGGATGCTGAGGCACGAGAATCACTTGAACCGGGGAGGTGGAGGTTGCAGTGAGCCAAGATCATGCCACTGCACTCCAGCCTGGGTGACAAAGTGAGACTGTCCCAAAAAACAAAAACAAATGAAAAAACCCCTTTATTTTCTAATAATTTGTTACTGGTACAGAGAAATCAAATGGATTTTAGTATGTTGACCTTCTAGCTAGTAGCCTAACATGTCTCACAGTTTTTGGTAGGTTCTTTTGGTTGTCTATGTTCAATCATGTCATCTGCAAATAATGACAGTTTTACATCTTTCTATCCAATACTTGTATCTTTTATTTCATTTTATTTCATTATTGCACTGGGCTAGGACCTCTTATATAATATGTGGTAGAGATCATGAGAATAGACATTCATCCTTTTTTGTTTCTAATTTCAGTGGGAAAGTGTTTAGTGTTTTACCGTTAAGTATGTTGTTATCCATAAATACCCTTTGTTGAGTTGAGATCTTCTTTTCCTACTTTTCCAATGAGTTTTAAAAATCATGAATGAAAGCTGAATTTTATCATATATTACATTTAATGAGTTGATACGTGATTTTTCTCTTTTATTTTGTTAATGTGGTAAATTACATTGTTTTCAAATCTTAACCTTGTGTTCCTGGAATAAACCTGATTATGTATTATCTTTTTTACATATTATTGGATTCAATTTGTTAAATTTTGATTGGTTTTGCTGTGTCTTTGCTTATAAGTGATACTAGCCTGTGATTTTCCTTTCTTGTAATGTTATTACCTAGTTTTGAATGTCGTATATAAAAATATATATTTGCCTTATTATTTGTGAAGTACTCTCTCTTTTTATAATCTCTGACAGTTTATATAAGATCAATGTTAGTAGTTTTTTAAAATTGTGATAGAATGTATATAATATAACATCATCTTAACCAATTTTTATTTTTTTGAGATGAGGTTTCACTCTTGTTGCCCAGGCTGGAGTGTTATGGTGCTATCTCAGATTACTGCAACCTCTACTTCCCGGGTTCAAGTGATTCTTCTGCCTCAGCCTCCTGAGTAACTGGAATTACTGGTGCCCATCACAATGCCCAGCTAATTTTTTGTATTTTTAGTAGAGATGGGGTTTCACTATGTTGGCCAGGGTGGTCTTGAACTCCTGATCTCAGGTGGTCCACCCACCTTGGCCTCCCAAAGTGCTGGGATTACAGGTGTGAGCCATTGTGGCTGGCCTATCTTAACTATTTTTAAATATACAATTCTGTGATATTACTTATGTTTACATTGTTGTGCAACCATCATTACTACCCATCTCTAGAATGTTTTCATCTTCCCAAACTGAAATTCTGTACCCATTAGATGCTAACTTCCTATTTTCTCCTCTTCCTAGCCCCTTGCAACCACCATTTTACTTATGATTATATGAATTTGACTATTTTAAGTATCTCATATGAATAGGATCATTCAGTGTTTGTTCTTTTGTTATTGGCATATTTCACTTAGTACAATGTCTAAAAACGCTTATTTATGTTATAGTATATGCCACTATGTCCTTTGTTTTTAAGTCTAAATAATCAGTTATATGTACATGCCACATTTTGTTTGTTTATTCATTCATTGATAGACATTTAGGTTGCCTCCACCTTTTGCCTATAATGGTGATATGAGGGTAGGTGTACAAATATACCTGAGACCCTGCTTTT